AATAATATATATATTATTATTAGTTATATATATATATATATATATATATATATATATATATATATATATATATATATATATATATATCTGTATCTTTATATACACGTCAACCCACTATTGACAATGTCCGTAGGTCATTCTGCTTCTCATTTTGCTGCACGCGGGCTCTAATAAGCATAACATAACATTCCTTTCTCACCCCTAACATTTCTACCCACGCGGAAGAGGTGGCGTATTTCATTGGTTAGGTGCAGATGTGTGTCCAGACCACCAGTACATCAGATCTAACACACAAGCTCAGGTCCATGTATACTCCATGGCTTTTGCCAATTCACCCAATATGGTACCCGATCCATTACGTAAATATAGTGCCATGCTTATTTTGAGGACTACACTCATGTACTCAACTCAACTTACTACTTTTGTGTTTCATTTCTATGTGTAGGTACGCCTGTATCGACTCAGATTACAGTGACATGGGCGTAGTGGACTTCTGGGAGTCTCTCGCTCAGCGCGGCGATGTTTGGCTCAGAGATGAACGTGGCGAGAGAGTCTTTGTATGTGCATTTATGGTTGTATGTAGTGCCTCAGAATCTGGTCCGTGTTCATTTACTTGCAGATGTGTGTTAGTTTGCAATTACATACTCTCCTAGGCGTTGTACCTGTTTGCAAGTGTATGGCTGTGTGGGTATGTGTGTGTCAACACTCTACCTTCTCCTTATCTCACGAGCATTGGGTAAGAGTGAAACACCATCATACCGCACGCCCTGGTTAAACTCTGCAATAACACACGCGGACATGTCCCTTCCGCGCTGTGCCTGGACACACGTCTTGTCACACAGGTATGTATGTTGTCCGTCTATGTGGTGAATGTCATCACACATGTTCATGGGTAGCTATCGAGGCTGCCTAGATTGCCAGTAGTGTATTGCGTTTGAGTGATATACCGTACTTACGTACCTTCCCCCTGGTGGGATCGTTGAATTTGGTATCGACTGCCTGGTCTTTGTACGTGTTATGCAACAAGTTGAGGTAGAGGACTTTGCAGAAGTATCATCGTTCATATGACCCTCTCAAGCATATACGCGTAAACTGTTCCCGTGTGCTATATGGACGGAGACCGTTCGTCTGACAATTACGTATGATTCCTACTACAGTCCAGTCAGATTCCCTCCATGGTGAAGAACTTGGCGGACGATCCGTACCGAACTATGTCCGAGTGGCTGAAGCACGGGATGGCTTACATAAAATGCAGTGATCCCGAAAATCAGGACCTCTTCCAGTATGTCAAGCACTGATGTATATGGTGAACATGAACATGCACATGTATAGTATTATCATTGTATGACAGTTTATCTGAGAAGTGGTATACAAGAACGTGAGATATCATATTATTGTAAAAGCGAACTTCAGCTCTCATGGAGCTGAACTGAGACATTCACATACACGCCTGCATACGTTTTATCTACCTATGGAGATCTATATATACACGTATATTCTACAAAGAAGGATAAGTACAGGCCTATCCGCACATGTATCATATGTGAAGCTCACAATTTAAAGTCGATGGGTGCCAGAGCGCAAGCAAGCATGGGCCATAGCCTGGCTGACTGTCACACCACCCGTGTGATTACGTATACTGGTGCTTCTGACAGTGTTTTTCCTATACACA